TCATGTCACTGTGATGGTATCACAGTGTGTACATTCAAGTAACCCTCATTTTACTTAATAACAGCCTCCAAAGTGCAAGAGTAATGATGCTGGTGATTTTATTACACAGTATACCATTATAATTGTTTTATCCTTGGTCATTATTAATTTCTTACTATGCCTAATTTATAAATTAAACTCTATCATCATATGTATAAGTAGGAAAACACAGTATATTGGGGGTTTGGTACTATTCACAGATTCAGGCATCCACTGGGTGTCTTGGAACATATCCTCCACAGATAAGGGGGGACTAGTATAATAATAGCTCATGAGTATACACTTCCTATTCTGTGCCAGACACCATTATAAGTACTTGACATCTATGATCTCAGTTAATCTTCATGTCAATCTTCATGTACCCAAGATCCAACAACAAACAAGAGGCAGTGATGGAATTCAAACACTGGTATTTTTAGTATTATGCTGCCTCTGAGGGGTGGAGGATATTTTGSCTGCAAAAGGCAAAATTCATGGTTTGAGCTATGGACTGAATGCTTCTCAAAATTCATATGTTAAATCCCTAATTCTCATTGTGATAGTATTTGGAGGTGGGGCCTTAGACAGATAATTAGGTCCCAAGAGTAGAGCCCTTACAGGAAGAGACACAAGTGAGATGATTTCTCTCTTTGCCACATAAAGATTCAGAAAGACATGAGAAAGAGGGCCCTAGTCATGACTTCAGACTTCCAGTCCCCTGAACTATGAGAAATAAATTATCATTTAAGCCAGCCATCCAGTCTATGGTATTTGTTATAGAATCTGGAGCTAAGACTGTTGGGGAATAATGGATTGTCTTCAAATATTTGAATGTCTGTGCATGGAACAAGGGTTAAACTTTGTTTATATGAACCAAAAAGATTAGAACTAGGAGAGCGTTTTCTTTCCATCCTCTGTATATAGTCAAAGTTCCCCAAAGAAGAAATGGGCCACCCCAGAAGGTGGTGAGTTCTGTCACTGGCTATCAGATGCTCTTAGTGTTGGTAACATGCAGAGAATTTAAGCACTGAGTGGGTGGTTAGGTGAGACTATAAAATCTCTTGCAATTCCTGAGAGTATATAGATTCTTGAGGGTCAGGACTAAAAGCTCAGTACCAAAGAACTGGATGCCAAGGCTTCTTAACTTCCATAGCAACTATATAATCCACTACTTTGCTAGGGATCATTCTGAAGTTAGAATTTGCATTTGAATGTTTTAAGACTCTACATGCCCAGATAGCTTGAGTGGTTGTGTCCTCCTCAAACTTTATCTGTCCTTCAGAGGTAGGCATAGACATCACCTCCTCCAGAATGTTCCCCAACTACCACTAACACCATCGCAGGTGCCCACATCACCCCACCTTTCCCTGATCATGCCACTTCTCACACTACAGAGAGTGTTGTCTGTTTGAGCATCAACCTCCCCAAGTTCGTTTCCCAGGGCTATAGTAACAAGTTACCACAGACAGATGGTTTAAAGCAATAAAATTTATTTTCTCACCATTCTGAAGGTTAGAAGTCTGAAATTAAGATGTCAGAGTAATGTTCCCTCAGAAGCTGCTAGAAAAGAATCTATCCTCTCCTCTTCTGAACTTCTGATGGTTGCTAAAATTCTTGGCCTTTGGTAGCTTAAGGTTATATCCCTCGATTTTCTGCCTCCATCTTCACATAAGCTTCTCCCCTCAGTCTGTATCTTGGTGCGTCCTTCTCTTTTTATAGGAACATCAGTTTTATGCGATTCAGGGCCCACTCTATTTCAGTATGACCTCATCTTAATATAAGTAATTATGTCTTCAAAGGCCCTATTTCCAAATAAGGTTTTATCCACAAGGACCAGGGATTAAGACTCAGGTCTAGGATGGAGGCCACCAATTCTGTTTTAAAGCAGCTCTGAACCTGCAGGGAGACAACAGGAGCAAAGCTCACCCTCCCAAGCTTAAAAAAAAAAAAATTATGGGCAAGACATTATCATGGTGGAAGATATGTCCAAGGAATATTTAAGGGATTTGGTCTCTTTATAAATCTTATGACAGATGAATGTGTAGAGATGGCAACTGTGGGCAACAGAACAATATTGGAATGGTGGTAATAGGAAGAAATAGAAACATCACGTTACAAGCCTTAGAACAAGTATAAATAATGGCTGCTCAGCACAGAGATCCATGTCCCCTCTCCAAAGGGCTTGTTTTACTATGATATAAAACTGAGTCATATAATTTTCATATTAAGCTTTTTGTTTAATAAATTTTTGTAATAGTAAAAAGAAAAAAATTCAATCTATCATTTAGAAGACATAATTCGACCAACCATATCACCCAACCCCCCACACTCAATAGATTGTGGGCTCTTCATTCTACATATTTTTATTGTGTCTATCATGAACTGCATTCTGCTCTGGGCAACAAGGACAAGCCACAGTCAAGGTCACTAGACTTGACGGAGCTTCTATTCTACATGGAGATTGACAATAAAATGTGCCCTTTGGTGATTGAAGCCAAATGCCAAGTGTATATAAGTACATATTGCAAAATATACAAACACTTGATACATATTCGATGAATAAGTATTAACAATGAAACACAAAGAATAAATCATTGTACTTCACCCAGCCAGTGGTCATCATTATGTTTACCAGAATCTGAGAGTTTGKTTTCTCTCTGTCCCTTGTAAAACTCTGTTCTTCAGTACTTGAATTCTTACTCTCAGTTGACACCCACAATCCAATTCCTCAAGTAATGTATTCTGACTACCAGAAAATAAAGAACCTGGTTTTTTAATTAAATTTGAGCATCTCCCTTAAAGAACACACTTGCACTCTGTTTGCCTTCCAGGGCAGCGTCAGCTCCTCCCAGTCTCCCTTCGTCCAAATGCCAGGTGAGTACTTCAATTCAATGGGAGATTAATTCCCTTTCAAAATGAAACTGAGCATTTGGGCTCCTGTTTTGTTTGTTTGTTTGTTTTGTTTTGTTTGTTTTTTTGTTGTTGTTGGTTGGTTTTGGTTTTTTACACAACTGCCTTACATGACTTTACCAAATTTTTTTTTCTTTAAAATAACTATTTTCAAAATGTAAAATCAATGAAGACAGACCTCATTCAGTCATTCCCATACTTAGAATCTATTGTGCCTTGAAGTCAGCCTTTTGATCCCCAGCCTAGAAGAAACTTTTTGCATAAAGGCAAGAGGAATTAAGCCCCTGACAGTTTTTAAAACAAAGTTCTGACATGATATTATAGATGAGGTACCTACTTCAGACAGAAAGAGAAAGAGACCTAAGGGCATAGATGTGGAACTACCATTCAGTGGGTGCTCTCTGCACATCAACCACTCAGTTGAGCATGATGTATTCATTTCAACACACATCTCATTAAATATTCCCGTGAGGATGGAAAAGGAGCATTCTTTTTCTTTTTTCTTTTCTTTTTTTTTTTTTTAATAGAGTCTAAGTTGCCCAGCCTGTCACAGTCCTCCTGGTCAACCTCCAGAGTAGCTGGGGTTACAGATATACAGCACCAAACGAGGGRAATTCTTAGTAGTAGTCTGGGATATTCTCATCCACACATGTGCACACACAAAAAAACCACTCCTCTGAGCGCTCAAACTCAGAAGTGCCATAGGCCTTCTCAATCGTTTTAGAACCCACAGTACTGGATAAGAAAAATAAATAAGGGCCTTAGAGGATTTCAAATAAACAAATGTCTCTGTGTTAAGTTTTCTAATCATATTTTATGCCATTGCACTGTGCTTTCATCTGCTCTCTTCTACACAGAGAAACTTCTGCAGCTTCTCTTTTCATCTAGAATTCTTCTTCCTTCTTTTAAGGAGAAAAAGGTAGGCTTTAAGAGAGCAGAGGTTTTTCCTTCATGGTTGTTTTTATTTAGAAGTTGGAAATAAAGATATGACAACCTGGAAGCTTTATTTACATATTCTTCATTCTGTTCTCAGCTTTAACCACTCATTCCTATGGTTATAAATTGATGACATGAAACAGAAATCTATTTATGGATACTAATTTGAATTTACACAGTTTTTTCCCCAAAGAAGTTTGCTTATAATTAAAACTCTAACTGCAGCCTTCAAAATGCATGAGTAGTAGAAAAAAAATGCATGAGTATATTTGAAGTTTGGGGTTATAGAATTTAAGATGAAAGTGAAGTGAGTAGTATCATGCTAAAGGTTTTGATGGGGGAATTTTGATTGCTTATTCTGAATGAATAAATTTACATGCAATTGTTGAACACAATGCTATGTTTATTCAGATTATGGAAAATGTCTAAGACCTCAGCTCTGCCTCCATAGAGCTTTCAGATTGGCTGGAAAGACATTGTGAGAGATGAAAGAGTAATAAGCATAGTATACATAACATCGTGTGCGGGTGGCCCAAGTTCTGTGTGTGTCATCATGCAGGACTGAGTCATGATAACAAAGAGGAAGGGTTTCCATGAGATAGTTTTCTTTCCTCCAAGAGTGGGTGGGACATAGTTCAGAAGTCCTCTGCTCTGGTTGGGGGAAGTGAAGGGAAACACCATTTGTGTCTTTCCCCTACTTCTACCCCTCTGTGACTCAGGGGGTTGGTCTTAGCCAATTAGACCACTCTGACCCCACCTCCAGCTGGAATACTTAAGCCATCGGTTTTACACACTCATCTCTACCCCCAAACATGTTCTAAACGATCATGTATTTCCCGCTACAACTAATATACGGGGTCAGAAAGTAGTTTAAAAACACATTTCTTCTCTTCTGGAACATCTCTCTGGCACTAAAAGACTCCTCAGTTTCAGCTTTTCCGATTTGCACCCAAGCTTTGGTACCAGGCACTCTTCCTAAACGTAGTGCCCGGAGAACTGAGTGATGGCCACAAGAGGGCAGCAAATAACATCAAACTCATCAAAGCAGAAAGGTCCCGAGTTCCTCTGAAATTGGCTTCTGTGCAACCATATTATCCCAAAGCAAGCCCTTGATTGATGCCTTCCCAGTGAGCGACATGGTGTTAAAGGTCAGTACACAAAAGAATTCGAATACAGAGTACAACGTTCATCTGATCTGCGGTGAGGTTATCTTCTCCGGACATCCAGTGTCTCAGGTAATAAGTCCAGAAGCAGCCCATTGTATCACAGGGACAGAGCTCAGACACTCCATTCAATAAAATGTAAATGCCAAGAGATTCTTTGACTTAGATTTTTAAGCCCAGCCCTTCCTAGCATAGTGCCCAGTTCTGGAAGATAGAAGGTGACGGGGTGATGCCTATGTGAATGGTTGAGCAGTGACAGTATCATCTAAAATGAACTCATCCTTAAAGGCAGAGTGGACGTTAAACCTAGTTACACGGGCCAGCACCGTTTTTAACAGTCACGCAGGCACATTTCGAGCTTTGCAAGACTTTGTTCTCTTTCTACGTTAACACGGTGTCAGGCAGGTGTCAGGAACGTCCTTTCACACTAGAGCCACTCGGCGGCCACCGAGAGGCCCTGCCCTTGCTGGGGTGGGCCTTCTTGCCCACTTGTCTTTCCTTTGGCAACAGGTTCGCCGGTCATGTCAGGTTACTATGGCGTCAGAAGATCTTTTTTGTCTGACTCAGACTTCCACAACAGTAAGCCGTTTTCAAATGACGTCTACACCTCCGGCGGCGTGGCCAAGCCCTTTCCCTGCGAGTCGTCGGCAGGGCAGAGCCACGCGGCGCTGCTCGAGTCCTACCTGGCCGAGCCCTACGGGGACTACCGCCCGCCGGCCCTGACCCCCAGCCCGGGCTCTCTGTTCAGCGCCTCCCCGCTGCCGCCGCTCCTGCCGCCGCCCTTCCCCAGCGACCCGGCTCACTTCGTGTTGGTGAGTACKCGCTATTTCAGGAACAGGGAGTTAGAGGAGGAGAAAGGGCTCTCTGGCATCAGCCCTGCCACGCKCTGGGCAACCAGGTTGAAGCGGGTCTGACTCTCGGACATCCCTGAGGCTGCTCTGCTGTTGCCCAAAGGGGCCAGGTCAGGCCAGCTCTGCCAGGACACCTGAGGGAGACTTGCTCATAGATGGATGTTAACCTTGACAGCAAGCGTTCATCTAGGGATTTGAACTTAAAAAAAAAAAAAAAAAAACTATAAGGTAAAATTTATGTTCATTTTGCTAATAGTCTACAGATTTTGCCACATGTTCCCCAATGCCATTAGCACAAGTCATTATCATTCCTCCTGCTCATAAGAGAGAAGCATGTCGTGACATCTAGACACGGCTAGTTGTCTCTCCATGCCAGCACAGGTGGCTTCTTCCCACCCAGTGCTCTGCCTCCCACTTTCCCAAGAATATTTCTACCATAAAACGTTGTTCTCTGGATCCTTCCAACAAGATGAGCTCATAGAGATCTGAAGGATGCTAAAACTCTTCATGGAAACTAAAACTGTAAAGCCTTCTTGCCATAAAGGTGAATCTCCAAAGGTGGGAGAGGGAATTAACATTACTGAGTACCTATTCTATACCAGGAATCTTTATGGGCTTTTGTTCATTTAATACGCACTAACTCAGGGAATATTTATGAAAGTACCATTTCACAGATGAACAAAGTGAGGTGCCCAGAGTTAGGAAGGGAGTAGGTAGCACAGCTATGAAAGAGTTCAGCCCACTCCAAGAGAGGTAGGCTTGAGGAGGTAGCATCAAACCTATTTCTTCTCTCACTGAGGTCAGAGCAGCCTCCTCCACCCACTCCAAAGCTTACTGTGTAGCTGGAAGTCTACTCCTTCAAAAAGCCGGCCAAGGGCTGACTTACCCACTAGTGTAAAGGGTATTCTGGGACCCAGAGAAACCTGAGYCTCAAAAAGAATGCAAGCAGTGCTTTATTGTAAACAATAGAATTCTGGGTACATGGCCATTTTATTCTTCTCACATTTCATTCATTTAATGTTGTTTTCTGGGAAATGTAACCTCAATACATATAGGAAATCTCATTCAAGAGTAAAAAAGAACCAAAACATTCCCCTCTGGTGTCAGGATGAAGCTGCCTGGGTGGGCTTTAATAGCAGAGGGAGGGTCCTGAGGCTGCTCTGGAAGTTGGCTCCAGCAGCAACCCTCGAAACAGAAAAGCATCAACTAATACATAACCCCATTCTCTTCAGAGGGACTCGTGGGAGCAGACAGTGCCTGATGGTCTCAGCCAGACRGACCCCATGCCCACCGATACTCTACAAACCTTGCCGCCCAGCACCAGCTGCCTCTCCCAGCTCGAGTCAGGAAGTGCCACACAGCACAGGAGCTCCACCTGGGGGACCTCCCTTGCTGGCACTCARTCCTATTCTCTGCACACGCTAGAGGATCTGCACAACACATCTGGGTACCCCACCCCACCTCCTTACCCTTTTACCCCTTTCATGACAATGTCAAATGACCTACCACCAAAGGTGGTACCTCTCTCTCCAGATGAGGGGACAGACCCCTCTTCCCTTCATGACCATTCAACTTGGACCAAAGAAGACGGGAGTGTGGCCTGGGGGTCATATGAATGCCGCAGAGCTTACTGAGGGTGTGGACCAAAGGACTTCTGTGCTTGTCGTTGAGTTCTGTATTCCAGGGATTGCTTTAGATGTGCTGGCTCATTCGGAACTAGATTTTCAGGATAAGCCATAATGCCACCCTTTGTTAATGGACGATGGCATTTATTTGTAATCTTTACCACCATAACCCAGTTGAAATACAATACAGTGTCAATTAAATATACCATGGACCATATTCTAGTGAGGCAACTTTACAGTGAGGTCATTTTGGAAATTTAGTAGCCAATTCCATTCTGAATCTTCTGTTATCTTTGAAATATCATTTGGGGGCACTGATTTTTTTCCTTAAATTATGTAGATCATAAAACAGAATGGTTCTTCTGTGTAATTTTTCTTAGTAATAAACCATGTGTATTATTTAATAAAAGAGATAGCTAGGGTATAATATAGGTTGRGGCACATAAAACAAAATTCATTTTMTACCATATGACATTAAAGAGTGAAGTGTTATATTCATTTCCTTCATTACAAGGGCATGTAAAGGCACTGTAAAAAGATATGGCACTGAGTGTAAATGTGTTACTGTCAATAAAAGAGGATGAGGTCCAGAGATTACATGTGTGGTTTTTTTTAAATATATAGTTTCAACTCTGTTTTAAAGCCCAGGATGTCAAAAAATTAATCCAGCCCCTCTCCGCCAAAAAAGCCAAAAATTTTATTTGATCAGTGACTGTCTAAATTAAGGTAGACATGGTCTCTCTGAGAAATAAGCCTAGGGTTATCAGAATGGAYRAGTAAAATGGACAGTTGGTGATCAARTCAGAATCCTTGCATTTTAAAGAAAATAGGAATAAGCTATTGACAAAAAACAGACCAATGCCAAAAAGCAAAATGGCTTGGAAGAAGAACATATTGTCAGGTGAGTCAGTGGCACCACACACAATGTCCCCTAACTGTGCCTTGCCGGTGGCTTACCGGTCAGAAATGTATGGCTCTCACTGTGTAAAAATGAAGAAAYAATATCTGAAACACTAATCTGTCTCCTATAAGTCTGACTGGAGTGGGTTCCTTTGCCAATGATGCGAAACCCCCACCAAGCAGTGCTCCTGTCTGCAGGCCACACCCATCATAAATACCCTGCACACAATTTGGAAGTACATAAATCAAGGCCCACAAATTACATGTASACCCTTCCTCCTGTCTTTCTTCCACCGACCTTCCTTTACTTCCTTCTCACATCTTTCTGATCCCGCTGGTCCCTCCTTGCCATCTCCTGGAAGCCAAGACTCTCATTGTCCAGCCGATTGCCCAAAACTCTTCAATGCAGTCTCTATCGCATCTTCTACAAGTACTCATTCTTGTAGAAGAAGAGTCCCGAAACTCACACAAAGGGATTTGTTCACACTTAGATGTAAATAATTGATATTTCTCCTTCTCTACTCCTTTAAGGATATTTTCTGGTTCAGCAAACACATTTCTAATGTATGGAGTACCAGCAGAGATGCTTGGGCAGGGAGCCTTCCTTTACCTCACCCCCTAAAGCTCTCTCCCAGGAGAGCCAATCAAGAATGAGCCTCACCTGCTGGGCAGTACTCCTCCAGGCCACCCAGCTCTTTTCTGGCAGCCTGGTATAAAWTTTTTTGCCTTTTCTTAAATTTCATTTTGTATTAACAGGCAATAATTGTACACACTTGTAGAGGTACAATGCAATGTTTCAATACATGTATATACTAAATGATGACCCAAAGTAATTAGCATATCACCTCAAACATAATTTCTTGATAGTAAAACATTAAAAATCCTCTCTTCTAGTGTTTTTTAAATATATGATGTATTATTATTGACTATTATGGTTTGAATATGAAGTGTCCTCCAAAAACTCATGTGTTGAGGCCTTGATCCCCAGTGGAGTAGGGTTCAGAGGTGGGCTTTCACAAGTGGATCATCAATGGATTAATCCATTCATAGCTGAATGGACTACTGGGAGGTAGTGGGCCATGGTTGGAGGAATTGGGTCACTGGGGTATGCCCAGGAAAGGTGTTTCTTGTCTTCAGCCCCTTCCATTCTCTTTCTGCTCCCTGACTGCCATGAGTTAAGCAGCTTTGCTCTATCATGCCCTTCCACCATCATGTTCTGCCTCACTTCAGGCCCAAGGCAATGGAGCCCACAGACTGTAGACTGAAACCTCTGAAACCATGAGCCAAAATAAGTCCTCTCTCTAAATTGTTCTTCTCAGGCATTTGTCACAGCTACTGAAAGMTGACTAACACACTGACTATAGTCACCCTACTGTGAAAGAGCAGAGCACACCAGTTATTCCTCCTAACTGTAACTCTGCACTACGCATTGACCAACTCCCCCCCCAGCACTTCCCCGCTTCAGCCTCTAAGAACCATTATTCTGTTCTCTATTTCTATGAGATTGACTTGTACATATTATGCACATGAGTGAAATCATGGTGTATGATTTCAGCTCTACAGCTGGCTATTTCATTTAACATATGTCATCCATGTCCTACCATGTTGTCACACAGGACAGGATTTTATCTTTTTGTGGCTGAATGGTATTACATTGTATCTATATAGCACATTTTCTCATTCATTTATCCACTGATGAACACTTAGGTTGGTTCTTYATCTTGGGTATTGTGAATAGAGCTGCAATAAATATGCAAATGTACATCCCTCTTCAAATTATCGAGATTCCTCAAAAAATTAGAAACATAACTACCCTATGATCCAGCAATCTCACTCCTGGGAACAGACCCAGAGGAAATGAAAATATCCTGAGCTTTATTTTGCTTAATATTTGTTTTTCAGTAAAAAGTAGCAATACTCAGTGTGGGAGAGAAAAACTCCTTCTTTTCCAGTGGAATTTGGGGCCTTAGTCCTGGTTCCAAATAACTTTCTCAGAGTCATCTGTCACCTAGCAGTTAACTCATACATGAACAACAGATCTCTGCATCAGACRGAAGAGATCTTACCCCCTCTATGGATTTAGGGATCCTCATGGCAGTCTGAGTCATTTTTCTGAATTAATTGTGTAAAATATATAACTACTCACCATTTGTTACTAAGAAGCAACAACACAATATTGTTAATGTAAAATATATATATATGTATATATACATATATATATACACACGGAGATATATAGATATTTTATATAATATATAACATTAATATAATAATTATTATAGATAATATCTACATATTTCCACACAACTTCAGCTTTTGATTATAATGCTAAATATTAGACATGCTCATATCACTTACTTGGATGTTATCTGCCAATGTATTATGTCCATTCATCTCTTCACAACTTGAAGTTGCTTGRTTCTTAGTTAGGTAAAGCTCAGTAAACAGACCTCCAAACTCAAGAAAAYGCAGTGAGTGCAATGATGTATACATTCTTCTTCAAGCATCGAACCCCTTTCTTGGTGTTTAACAAAGTCAGTTAATAAAAAAGGAGACACACACAGGCCCATACACATGTACTATCCATTTTGGTTATCTAGCCTAAAAGTGCTTGGAGGGAACAAGAGTAATGCTAATGAATTCCAAATAATAAATGATTTTTTTTTTAAAAAAATCTGTTTAGCTTTACAATGTGTTTCTCTACTTCTTATAATTTGTTTTATTGTTTTGGGAACATTTTTGCTAAAAAGTGAAAAAAAGCTACAAAATTAAAACATGAAAATTATGTTTATTTCCCTCTCCTATTTCTCATTTGAGTTCTCCCAATTTTTGTTGTTGTTGCTGTTTTAAAAATAATTTTACTATAAAAATTATTACTTACACTGTCATAATTGGAAATGACCACACATGATCAACAATTTCATTCCACCACTCATAAAATACCATGCTCTTAACAATCCAGAAAATGGGGCATTTGTCTTCTTTTCTACAAAGAAAGTGCTCCCTTCTCAAATACTTCCAATTTACTACCACACTTTCATGCCCAATACCAACATATGGAAAAGTGTACATTCTTCTCTCCCCCTCCTTCTTTGAACCTGCTCTTCTCTAGGAAAGCTAGAGAAAATTCAAGAGCTTAGATTCAAAACTCCATCTCTTTCAGGCCCTGCCAGGATTTAGCATATATGTAAGATTTAAAGTAAGCAGAGATAGTAATGTCAAATTCAAGCTACTTTAAAAAGCTGACTAGATAAGAAAGTCCAAAAAAGGCCAAAAGTGAAATGTACCCATGCAAAAACTGCAATGTAGACAACCATCCGTGAATCACTGGAATCAGACAGAGCATGGAGTTGGAAGTGTTTGTATTTCTCTTACAATGTTATTCAAACCCCAAAGAATGAGAGAAGAAAACCACATCTTTACCTTGTTTATTTAATAATACTTTTAAATGATCATTATGACCTGCCACAGCTCAGTTAATAATACAATGTCATGGTACTATTGTGGTAGAGGAAGAAGAATGAAGTGCTCCAAAGGAAATTCTACAAAGGGAAAAGAATTACTAACCCCAATAGTAAAATATATATTTACATATATACACAGAAAAGTATCTTTGTAATCCATTTTMAAAATGTAAATCTAAATGATACAGTCATAAGGAATTAAACATCAGTTATATTTAAAGTACCAAAATAACTATTGATGTCCAAGGTTTAATTCACATTGCATTATAGTGATTCTGTCAACCACATACCAAAATTATATTTATCCATTGGTTTCAATCACTGTGTTCTGTCTAAAGTATACTTTCTATTCAAAACAATATTGTACTATTCTTTTCACACACCATATTCACCACCTATTGACTCTAGAAAAGTTAAGTGCAAAATCACACACTCTAAAGAAAGTGATTCACTAGCTAAAGAAACAAGGAAGGACACATAGAGGACTCATCACTGTTTCTCCAGCACCTGGCTCAGGGCTTTGCATGTTGTAGGTGTTCACTAAATGTGTGGTAGGTTGAGCTAAAACTAGACCACAAAGATGAACAACTATTTAGTCCTTGACTCAGTGGATGACAGCTCCCTGAAACCAGTAAATGAGAAAATTCTCTCCAGTAGACAAGTTCTACAAATTCAGACACTAGATGGATCTTGGGCTTTAGTAGCTACATATTTAAGATAATTGATTTAGTGTTTTTAAATGTCTTTAAGAAAGGAAATTACTGAACTTTTGAAATAGCACAGGAAAATGTTGAAATTTCATTTAGCATTGATATGACTATATCAATAAGACTTATAAATAAAAATTATTTGTTGCTTGGTATTATATTTAGTGTTGTTAAAACAAGTCTGATAAACAAATCAGAAACTAGAATCCCCCAGGGTCAAACTGAATAAATAATAATAAAACCTTCTACAGTTATTTGCAAATGATGATACCATATTATATTTGATTCTTGATACAGCAGTGCCCTACAACCATGACCCCTACTAAATAATCATGTAGGTTTGCAATATGCAATGTAATTTTCAGTACATTAGGAAAAAAAGAAAACAGTAAAAAATGTTACATATTCCAAAAGGAAAAACAATGGGAACCAAAATAATAATAATATTTAGGAATTAGATATC